AGTATGATTAGCATCATACTGAAAAAAACTTAAAATTGAAGGAACGTTCAAAAATTAGTTCTATAGAAAAGTGTCGGTGAGAAGACGGTTTTATGAAAATACCTTCAAAAACAGAACAATCAAACACAGTACGTGGTTGCATTAAAGAAAAAGAAGGATCATATTGTCTTATTTACCATATTGTTATAGTATAGTCAAACGGTCTCATTGAGTATTAGAGTTTCTTTATTGTGAAAAGATCGTGTACAACTATGATGAAAGATGATTCGATTGATATAAATGTTATTTTTGGTTCATCAGTGATAAGATTATTTCAATTTTAGCAGAATCAATATAAGATAAAAGTCATAAAGAGCTTGAGATAAATCTGTTTTTGATGATCAAAATGAAGTTATGATGAATGTGAGTGTGAATTTTCTGTTCATCTATATTTGCAAAATCAAGTCGTTTTCTAAAAAGAACTCTCTTATTGACTGGTAATCATTACTATGCAGTTATAACTCTAACTGAATTGTATTCAAACATATTTAGTTTAATTTGATTGTAGTTTTATGATTAGTTGTAATCCAAAAAACTGTGAAAAATATTTTTTGTTATGTTGTCAAATTGACATGTGTTTCGATCAGATCGTGTTTCTTTTTCTTTGAGTGTGGATGTGGGTGTCGGCCATCTAGAACTGATCACATCCGAGATCAACATTACAGATTCTATTCTTGTCTAACCCCAAAACTTTCCAGTTCATTTCTATATTCTTTTTATATTAAAACTATTTTTTTCGGTTATATTCTATCTAATGATTTCTTCAATAATATAACAAAACACTGACGACATAGTGTGATCATTACCCATAGAATAAATTTTGAAAGATTCAAAAGTTAATAATCAACTAGAATAATTTTCAAAACAACTATATTTAAATTTATAACAATGAAATGTTCATTAGAATTAATGTGTGAATTGATAAACTTGAATAGGAACGAAAAAAAATCAGCAAATTATTTGTGTTAACATAGGAATAATTATTCTTGTCTGTCAGAATCATTATCACATTTATCTAATGATGAAGAAAAAAAGAGATGACAGTCTGTTGGTCAATAAACCAGATAACACATGAATAAAAATACGAATAGCAACATTCAAAAATATTTATTAAAAAATCAACTATGACACCACTCAATTGGTCAAATGTGTCAAAACCTAGAACATTTTATCCAACATAAATTTGGTAAGTCATCCATCTTTAGAGGAAAAAACAGATCATAGAATGTATATCTAACAAGGTGCATTGCCATTAATTGGCTCATTGACTGGTGCCGGTGTCTTATCAGTCACTTCAAAAAGCTCAAGTTCCAAATCATGTACATTACCATCATTAATATCGACTAAACGTAAGTTTGTTTTCTTAACATTATTTGTTAATTTATCGACTTGACAGAATAGATTTATCTAGCAAATAATTTTAAATTTTCTAAAACAGAACTTTATTTTCAATAAGTTTATAATCAGAAGTTTCAAGAAAAAAACTGTTAACAAGTAACACAAGAAGAAGTAGACATGGCAGTCAAAAAAAACTTCGAAATCAACAAATTTGACTCTGCACATGATGCATCTCTATTTGTTACAAAATACAGTTATATCGCTATATCCCTTAGCGGTATAAGCGGTAGATTTTATACCATTATAGCGTCATAGCGATCTAAGGGATATATGGTTGTATCGGTCTGGCGGTAAATAGTACAACACTTTGATACAAGTAAAAAGTGTAAATCTTGGCATTTGAAGGCGGACGCTTATAAAACTAGTGGGAAACAAAAAGAAAAAGTTTGCATAAGTTTTGCAGTTCCAGTAACGAGTTTATTTCGAACTTCGCAACCAAAGGAATATGACTGATCGGTTAAGCTTTAGACGAACTTAAATAATCAGAGAAATTCCCAATGTGGAATATCTTGATATGCTGCTATTGATTTGTGAAAACGAGGATTCTGCTTTATGTTTTTAGTTGTATAATTCTTCAATTTATCGGAATGTCTTCTTAAGGGGTAAGTGAACTGCAGAGATTCGTTGCACACGATAATGTCTCAAATGAAATGCAGAAGATGGGTAAGTATCTTAACTAAATGCTTCGATTTCAGCGATTCTTTTCAAGTATGTATTAACGTGAGTCACTCATCCTTATTTCACAAAGACATAGAAACAATAGCTTTGTTGTTACTATTGCTGAAGTTAAAAATCTCATGCATTAGAACCTTCAAATGACATTACATAATTTATAATAGTTCGGGAGACGCAGTCGATCTCACAAGTCCCAGCGATTCCTTGTTAAAAGATCTTTCTTTAATTGCGATTGCCAAACCTTATCCTATTTCCTACATCAGAACCAAAATTTGAGCCGCATATCCGTCCGAACACGAATACGCATAAAACATAAACTCGACTTCTATAAATGCCCTGCGCCATCCTAAAACCGCTTCTAATACACCGCTCGCACGATAAAACACAACGATGTCTTACCTTCCTCCTACAAGAAAATGCATACACATCTTCATTTTAGTCTCGGAGCGCGATACCCGAAATAGCACCGATAAGTCTTGTCTATACGAGCACTAGTTTGACTAGTTTAGCCTCGACAGTGTCAGAGAACATATAGACACCTTCATTTAAGTCTCGGTGCGTGGTGGCCCAAAGAGTAACGATTTGACATTCGGATCTGTAGACTGCAGAAGGATTGTACGGCAGAGTTGCAGCTGTCCGTTTGTTACAGATTCGGTAAAATATCGCTGAAAAGGATAGGGTGCGTGGGGGTAAGAATTAAACATACATTCACATCTACACTCACACCCACACCGCATGGCAGATATCAAATTCGAATTTCATTCACTATTAAGTGTTAAATTGCCAGAACAATCAACATCGTTTATTCTATCCGATGATTACTCAACAATAGTTATTTATAATTCGAAGAAAAATACGATCAAATATCTTTCAACGGAAATCAATAGAAATATCAAGAGTAATAAAGTCGACTCTCTTTTAAAAGCTCTAGTTTTTCATAATAATAATGACCAAGTTTATTTACAGCGTATTGATAATGATGATAACTCAATTATCTCTTTAGAACATGCCGATTTTCTTATAACAAAAGGTAATTTTATCGCTCTACTTAATTATAATTTAAAAAAATTGATTATCTATGACGTCGAAAGACTATTGCGTGGTACTATTCGATTACATATCTTATGTGATACATTACGTTTCCTGGAAAAGGGAAAAATATCTCTTTGGAATATCTAGAAAAAGGAATCATTCTTGTACATATATGAAATCGAAAATGTTGAGAAAAACTATTCATAGAAAATATATCACTGCTCGTCCGAGCTACAACAAATTAACTTATATTAACTTGTAATAACCAACTAGTCTTAATGTCGTTCAACAGAGAAACTATTCTCTCATTAAAACGGTTAGATATGAATCATTTTATATCCTATATTTTATCGTTTTTTTATCCTTGTTTTAACGATACTGAAACTCCGTCGAAAACTTTTCCATTGTTTGAAAGCGCTGAATGGATCTCTTGCCATGAAGACGAATATTGGACATTGATAAATTCTAGTTCTATGAACAACATATAGTAGATAGAAATATTTATACTACGAACTGTGTCTTGCACTTAAACAATATATCAGAATATTTGCTTTTCATATATCTGTATTCATACAATAAAAACTTTAATTAAAAAGAGAAGATCATTTGCTGACAGTTTTCTGTTAGTTCTACGAATAGAATTCGTGATAATGATTGTTACTCGAACACACAGATTTTTTCTCAATATTTTCTATCGAAAATAGAATAGTCTATTCGTAAACTTTAAAAATCAATCGCAGACGTATTAAGAAGGAGTCAATTTAGTGACGAATCTATGACGTCAATAAGACGAAGGCGATCATGATCAAAAAACGTTTTTTAAAGTCCATCCGAGATGGCATAAGTTGACTTTTTATTCGTTCCAGTCTAAGGTCAGATTCGTTCAATATTTCCTATAAATTCTACATCTTGGTCGATCCCATATTTTGTCCTATATTTCGATTGAGTTTTCTTTTCTTACCTATATTTTGCCTAAAAAAGGCATGGATGTGCATGGTTCGGCAGTGAGTGGTTTTCTCAATTGATTTTCTATCAACATTTAGTATTAACCTACGAGTTAATTGATCGTATGTTTGTATTCTACGGATGTTTTTTGTTCCCATTTCTTTAGCTGAACTCTGCTTCTATGACAATGTGTATCATATGTTATTTCCTTTATCGCTCGATTTTTTTCTTCTTGCTAGTTTTCTATTCATGATGAATTATCGTTCTCTTCTATCCAAAATGCGTGCACTAGTGCTTTAATTAAGAAGGTTTTCTTTGCTACAATAACTAGATAATCCATTTATTAGATTATAGAATCATACGGATTAAGTCGAAAAAAAACACAATTTGTTTTTTGATAGTCCTGTTTCTGCACCTGTTAACAATGACAAGGCATGAGTGTTTCTTCTTTTTTATGGTAACATGTCAGTGAGATTGAGCACAATTGGAATGATGATAATCGTTCCAATGATAGACAAAATATGACAAGACACTACGAGAAAGGAAAAGAAACAAGATTCGCTTTTTCTTGTTTTAAAAGGTTTCTGCACTTATTCTAAGTAATCTATTAATTCGTGAAAGACGATTGGCTTCGATTGCAATATTTTAAAAAGTTTATTTCAAAAAAACCGAAAACCAAATAAGTCATTCAAATAAAATCGAATACCTGAAACACACCATTAAACATTGAAGTTTGATCGAATTTTTCAATACCATACCATTGAACTAATCTTTCAATGAATCTTAAAAACCAATGAATATTTTCACTATTTTTATTGAATCCAAATAAATAAATCCACCATCGATATATTTTCATAACAGAATGAGCTAGGTGATGATTATTAACTGATGCATAATTTGATACTAAAACATTATCCAATTATAATTGTACCTGATGGTGTTAATGGTGCATAATAACCTTCCTGTATAGTTAAATAAATATTTTTAATTTTAGCTGATATAATTTCATTTTTATAAACATATTGTATATGATCATCTAAATGCAATTGACTAGCAAATATAGCAGATTTTAATTCTGTATCATTTGCTAAGAATATTAAATGATTAGGTGATATAAATAAAGATGTTATAATATTTCTATGATCGTCAATTTCCATAATAATTAATAAAAAACTAAAGAAACCATGGCGTTTTAAGTGAATAAAACCTTCAATAGGTTCATAAATTAATTTATTTTCTTTATTCATAACTAATACACGTTCACCAATTTCTATATTTGATAAAGATTTCATTGAACCATATTCAGTTATAACAGTACTTCGACCAGGAAAGCATTTTGATTCACGTCTTTTAGTTATACAAGTATACTGAAGACAAACATTACCATTCGATGATATTGAAGTACAATTACATGTTGAATCATATGGATCATATGGACCGTTAAAACAATCAACTGGTAATATTAAGAAACATAAAAAAGCAATAGATAAAACAGACATTTGCATGTTGAATGGAAGTATGCAAATCAGCTGTTAAAGTAATGGTGAATAAGAGCGCTAAAAGAAAAAAAACTCGTCGATGAATAAGAGTATATTTTAGTTCTATTAGGTCGTGTGTCAATAGTAAGGACATGACCTTTCTTAATTTCAATTGGTTTAATGATGTCAAGACCACCGGACAATATGCGACAAGATACTCTGACCTCATGACCGATGATAGCTGCCTGCTCGTCCTGCCATCTATTCATTATTGTCCCTCTTCAATTCATTGAAATCAGTGTTGCATAGAGATATAAAACAGAGAAAATATCAAGCCAAGTCTTATAAATGAATATATACGTTGTTCTAATAAATATACAGTCTTAAAACTGATCTTCGACTTGATATTTTAGGATAAACAAGAAAAATAAAAGATTGTTAGAGGAATGTGGACCGTACAGGATATGCATACGAATGCAATAATATTGAGAAAAAGGTTTACTATCATAACTGCTTTGCACGCGAAAGTTGAACATAAGCAGCGTGGCGCAGTGGAAGCGTGCTGGGCTCATAACTCAGAGGGCGGTAGATCGAAACTACTCGCTGCTATTTTACCTTTTTTATTCGTATATTTTTGCATAATTTCAAAATCTGATGCAATATGTTGCAATACAGAACAGAATAAGCAAAACATTTTTACATTAACTATCGTCTGATGCATCATTGCACAAGACGAAGTACTCTATTCAGAAACATTTATTGTTTAATTGATAAAAAAATTATCTTGTGACCTATCAAATTATGTTATTTCATTTTCTTAAGTGCACCTTTTTTCATAATCAACGAAGTATATTGAAATCAGAATTAATTGCTGCATGGCATAACCGATTGAAAAATAATTATTCAGTTATTTAGTATGATTATAATGTTCAAAGTACTTCTCTAAGTACAATATACTAGTTTTTTTCAGTAGAATAAATCGTAGATTCTTTTGAAAACGATAAACTTTGTTAACATATTAGACATATAAGTAAAATCACTAAATTGAATAATGACATCAGCGTAACATTGAGACCTTGTAGATAGATAAAGAAAAAAAACATAATTTTCAACATCTTCTTACAATCCATTTGAGTTCGTGCAACTTTTAATTTTTTTGCTAATGCCATCTGTAAATCTACAATGTGTTTTCTATTCAACATTTCAGCTATATCTCTGAAAACGCCTACATTAGGAAAACAATACTAATTTTGCTTTTCGTTTGTTTTTCACTTATTACCCATACCATTTAGTAGAGTAAAACATTTAGTCCACTATCTATTATCCTTTTCAACAAACTTTATTCGAAGATTCAATAAAGTGTCGCGCAAAAAGAAAGGCATTGTTTATGTTTCTCTATTATTGATACTCATTTTTTTTAACGACACAAACTTGTATTTTTTACAAATAGACTATGTTAATGAAGATATGGAAAGATATTATTCGATAAAATCGTAACAAGAAAAACAAAGAGATGTAGCTTTTCAAATATTTGTATGTTGTTGCTTTTTTTTTCTCGTTCTTTATTCATAGAATGCGTCGACCAATGTTCGTACAGAACATTTGAAATTATGAAATTATATCTTTGATGAATTACAAAATGAATCACAAACGATGAAAAGACAAAAAAAAGAACATTGCCGGTACTGGGACTTGAACCCAGACTGAGAGATTGAAGGTCTCTTATCCTACCATTAGACTATACCGGCATGATGAAATATTAAAGAGAAAATGTTCGAATTATGCAGTATTAACTCGTCATTTACTATCATTCTTATAGACATTGAATTAGATGAGGCGCAAGGATAGGATCGGTATGGAGTGTAGGATTTGGACATTAGTATGGGTAAGGATAGATTGTGAGTATGCATGTTCATAATATCCTCTTTCAGATATTTACACCCAAATCATACCCAATCATCTATATAATTTTTTTTATAAGATATCAATCATCAGTATTAATAAGTATTCATAATTCATTTTCAGAGTCGTTTCCTTCTTTAAAAAACGAAGTAATATGTATATTACAAAATAGTTAGTATCGACTGCTATAATTACAATAGCATTCTGATGGATATGACTACATACAAGTTTTTAAAATCTTAATAATAAATAGAGTAATAATTAAGTATTTATTTTATAAAGCTAATTCAAGAGATTAATTTTTTATATGTATTTTCAACATCATAATGAAGTTGAATCTAGTTACTGCTTGTTTACATTTCAAATTCGTGTATGGTTCGAACCTACTACACAATGGCATCTTTTTTTAATAGTATAGATTTTATGACTCTTTAATTCACCGTTTTTAAGTATAATTTTTCTAAAAAGACTTTAAAAAAACTCTACTATGTAATTTAAATCTAAAAACAATGGAGATAACAGACTTTAAATTAAGTTTCAATTTGGAAATTTTTTCCATCACTTTTTTTTTGAATGAATCATATTAGTCTAGCTGAAGAATTAAAAATGAACTTATTATTTTTCTTAGTTTATAATTTCAGGTAAAATTGTTTGTTACATTCAAATTTTTTCTATATTTGAGATGTGTAGAATAAGATTCTTTTGTGTAACTTTACCGTATACCAGAAAACTCTCCTTGATATTACTATAATAGGCGTTTATTTTACCTGTGAAAATTAATCGATGAGCATCTCTATTTTGTGCATGCATAAGTATTTATAAGACATGATCGATAGAGAAAGAGAACTTTCTAAAACTTTAGCAAAATTTATTATTCTTACTTTCAACATTAGGAAATAGTTCGATTTGATATATTATAGATGACTTGCTGTAGGCTAAATACGAGATTTCGAGAAGTTGTGCAATAACATAATTTGAAAACGAAGAATCGGAGAAGTGAATCCACTGAATACTAAAGAGTGTCCTAAAGCCAAACATTTTAAGTGAGTTTTTCAGCGATTCAGATATCGTTGATGAACGATATTTCAGAATTATGTAATTTTTAATGTTACATAGAAGACAAAAAATATCTATTTATATTTAACAACGAATTTTTATTAGCTAATTCTGTTGAAACTCTATAAAACTATTCTTTTTCAATAAAACGCCTTCAATAATTTGTTAAGAAGAAGAGTATAAAGTCTTTTTATTTATGTCATATAAGTATGTGTCTATTAATTCAAATGTTAATAGGAAAGATGTGGAGATAGGTAGATGATGGAAAAGCTAATAATAATACACATCTAGAATCTTGATAAGCTTTCTCTTATGGTCTGCAATGAGCTACCAGAAACTATAGAAAAATATCAGTAGCTATTAACATCAATATCATCTTTTTTTGCTGACAGGCTTACAGAATTCTTTTACAAGCTTGTATTGTAAAAATTTTCATTGAACTATTTTTAATTCAAGCATTTTACTAAAAGAGATCTTCTTGAGTATATTAAAATATCAATTTATAAACGAGTGTATACTGATCATTTTCAGTAATGTGAATAATGCAGAAATGATACTTTATTTTCCATTATTTTGTAAAAAAAAACATTAAAAAAAATGAATGGAAATGTATGCTTTTTCGTAGTTTCAACGCATTTCAATTCATTCTTTTTCTTTTTGGAACTAATGTTCCAATGATTGGCAATTTATTCAAAATCAATGGATAGCATGTATTATCTGAAATAATTGTCAAATGCTTCAATATTCAATGAATTTTCAGTGCATTTCAATGCATCATTTAGAAATAATGTTGTAATGATCGATAATGCATTGAAAATTAACGCATTACGATGCAGGATTAAAAATAAGGTTGATGTTTTTGATAATTCATTAAAATAGTAATACATTTTGGATGTGGGTATTCATCTTCGTTTCATTCACACTTACGTCCACATCCATAACTTTATGTATATATTTGTGTTAATTTTATGAAATGAGTTTATTTAATAAGTTGATTATAAATTCGTAGTAATATCACAATAAATATAAGAAGAACAAAATAAAATGAAGAATAAAAAATAAGAAGATGAAATAAATAATGAATATGAATATGTTTCTTGAGAAATAGAAGTCAAATCTTTGCGCTTTCTTATTTCATTCGAATTTTTTCAATTGTTGATCTGTCTAATGGTTTTAATTGTTTTTTATCATCTATTTCCATCCATCCATAAATTGTATATTGGTCTTTAATATAATAAAGACCATTTTCATACACTAATGGAATTTCTCGAGCATAATTATGTTTCCAATAAGTAAAGTAAAAATTTTCTTCAGCAACTCTAATAGAATTTCTTAAAACTTCAACAATAATAGAAACATGTCCATAAGGAATATATTTTTGTCTTGGATAAATTAAATATGATTCATTTGTTGGTCGCTTTGGAGAACCATTTGGATGTTTTTTTAATGGAAAACTTTCTTTATCAATAACTCTTTCAATATATTCTAATTGGCTCCACATATTATTAGCATCTTTAATATTTTCAAAAATAGAACTTTTACGTAAAAATGTCCATCGACGTGCATATTCAACACATTGCCATTTAATTCCCATATATATTCCATATAAATAACTATTTTCATTTGAAAAATAATCATCATTACCATTTGAATAAGCAATTACATTTGATGATGCAACACCAAGTATTGAATTATATGGTGCAAGATTTTTTTCACTTGATCCTTGTCGTTCTATCACGAATAAAAGAATAAAACTTTTTTTTTAAACACTTTTTATCAAATATATAATTGAAATAAAAATGAAATTTTGAAAATTGAAATAAACTAACCTACAAGTAATTGTAAGTATGATAATTCTTTCGATTCAACTTTGTAGGAACATTGATAAAAAATTATGAAGATAATTATTGAAAAAACAAGTTTCATGATTAAACGTTTGCGTGCGACTAAACGGCAAGCTGTTTTATAAATGTTAATTGTCACACCAGATACAAGTAATTTTCTTTAACATTCAGTTTTCTTTTTCTTTTTATACGAATAGGAGTGAAGGAAGAAAAAAGAAGTTATCC